GAGACCGGAAAAGGCAAAAGGGAAAGAAAAAGAAGAAAAAGAAAAGTAAAGAAATCTAAAGAGAAGGAGAAGAAGATTTCATAGAGAGAGAAAGAACATTTTTGTTTTTTTTTTTTCACAGTCCTCATAACATTTAGAACATGTTTGTTTATAGAAATTATTGGTTTTATTTAAATTTTTTGGTTTAGTTTGGTTAATTTTGAAAAAGATGGTATGGTTGGTTGTTAGTGAGTATATTAAAATAATATTTAAAATAGCATAATTAAAATTGACTTGATGTAAAAGTAAACGAGAGATGATTTGAAGTGATGGTTAGTTAAAATTATGTAAATGGATGAATAGTGAATTAAGGTTGATGTAATGTGTACGAATGATTAATTAATATTATTTAATTATATTAATAATATTGATGATAGTGTGGTTGAATTAAAATATTAGAATTTTTTTGAAAATTTCTATAAACAAACATAACATAAGCAAACTTGTAGGTGAGTACATGCATAATCATCTATGATATAACATCATAAAGCCGCTCAGTAAACTGATCAAATTGGATTATCTAGTTTTGATCAAGTCATCAAGATGAGTTAGTTAGATCGAGTATCATTATAGGTCATGTTTATTTGTACGGTAGTCGAATTGGATGAAGGTTGAGGCTATCCTAACCATAATCAAGTTGTCGAGCCTAATATTGAGCAAGGAGGATGTATTAATCTTAATTGAGCTATGGAAATCGATTTCCTTATAAACCATACGACAAATAGATCCCTAGATCTCCGGATTTTATCTCACTGGGTTGTCTTGCGATAAAATATAACTTAGAACCTTTAAATATATATTCTACCATAAGTACCGAATTTCTGAGAACCCAATTTATTCCGCGTAAAGCAATTTGCAAATTCAAAAAACGTATAAGAAACTCGTTCAAAAAGAAGAAACCAGAATCCTTTTTTATCTTTCACAATTTTTATCATTGTTGTAACATAATTTGCTTAAAAGAATAAAAGAAGACCATTATATCTTTCACACTTGTTAATATCCCTTTAGTTTACCTTGGATACACAAATGACACATATTTTAGGTATATTAGTTGACTCCACACATAACATAATTGTCCTGAAACTATATTATCATTAAATACACTGCATCTAAAACTCTGGAAGCATCATTTATTTAACAAACAATCCTCTATATCACTAAAAAATGCAATTTACAACAACTCGAGTTTTTCCATCAGTGTTCCACAAGCAGATACTAAATATTCTTACTTTTATACCTGGAGTTCAACAGGATTTCAACCAAGCCACTTTCTTTCTTTCTTCTTCTTGTTCTTTTTGCTCAACCAACAAAATTTCGTGAACGTGAAATTGTCGAGGACAAGTGGCTGAAAAGCAATTACAGTAACATATAGCTGATAACATAATCCAAAATGTGGACAGTTTTGAACTTTTAAGATCAGTAAGATTTGGCAAAAATAGCAACTTCATCTGCTGGGTTGCCAGTCATCAAGCATTTCTTTGCCCCCTGAGGCTGTTCGAATGGAAAACATCTAATGGTCGCCCCTGTTTCCTCTTTCACCTTCAATTCTTCTTCATCGCTGTACAATGAATTAAAATGTCTCAAACAGGTTTCACTTTTTATAACGATATTTACAAAAAATACCTAGAGGTTCATCATTTTTTTCCAGAAACTAAAAATCTTTGGAAATTACAATCACCCCCTGAATATTACGATTTGTAGAAGGTGGAATTTTTCAGGTCAATACAGACCTAAAATAATTGAAGTTACACGTAATTAAGCCGAACCTTGTGGTTCGCTTCTACAATATGCCCATAAACACACCTTATGGCAGAGCAAGAATAATATTCAAAGAAGCATGGTAAGTACCTGGCTGACCAAGGGCCTCTTGCCCATTTGCCTTCAGCTATTGCTTCTTTAAGCTCATTATAAGAGCTGACATCAACAATGTGGCTGAAAAATGATATCATCTTTTGTCAGAATCTTTTCCACATTAAAGTGCTGATATAATAATACTAGATATGGGATCATGGTATTCTCGAGCACATTAAAACCTAACAAGCTATACTAAATGTCACATCCATATATTTATTTAATGCAATATAGACCCGCATAAATGATCTAAATGGAATTTAATTTGGCAATGAACACATAATTGGATCTCAATCATAGACTCTTGAAGGCGGAAACATACCTATCCCGAAAGGACTTGGCCTTTTCAAGAAGAGAGGACTGGACCTCATCCAACTTGCTTCTTACATAAGCCACCAAAGTTGAAGATTCCATTGATATACCAAAAACTTTTCCTTGTTTCCCTGGAATATCTCTTCTAGAGACAACCACACAACCGGTTGAAACGTCTCGAGGCCCAATCTCAATCCTCAGAGGCACACCCTAGATGAAACAAAGAAATGTGAACAAAGTTGGCATTCTGTTAATCTATAAAAGGTATTAAGAAAAGAAAACTTAGGTCCCAAATAATATTGCACCATAGAATTTACATCATGATTTACGGAGATGATGATTTTACTTTTTTCTCACCTTTTTTTTTTTTTTTTATTTNGCATGTGTGCAGCATCCCTAATTAAGAAACTAAGAGCGTTAACATGACTACTTGTCTTCCACAATTACACAATCAGTTTTTTTTTCCGTCATCAATTCTGAATATTTTTCACCGATATGGGTTGGCATCCCGAGTGGTCAAGGAAAAAGGCATAAAAGGCAATGGGTGATAGAAGAATACCTTCATTTCCCAAAAGTTAAATTTCCAGCCAGGAGTTTTCTGCTCAGAGTCGTCAAGTTTAACCTTAATTCCAGCAGCTTGAAGAACTTCTTTCAAAGATGAGGCAGCATTCAAAACTCCTGTCCTTTCATCTGCTTTCTTCCATATTGGAACTACTATTACCTGCACACTAATTGGTTAGAGATCAAGAAACCCAACAGCTCAAAGTATGACAAAAATTAACATTTGATAAAAGTGTCATAAGACACCAGTGAATGGCGTCAAAAAGAATACCTGCACTGGAGCTAGATTTGGGGGAAGCATCAAGCCAGCATCATCTCCATGTGTCATAATGATGCCACCAACAAACCTCGTGCTAACTGCCCACGATGTCTGCCATACGTGTTGCCTTTCTCCATTTTCGTCTGTGAACTGTGCAAGATAATCAGTTTACTGAATTGTGTAAAACTTCAACATAATGTCTGTATCCAAGTGTAAAATAATGGTGAATAGAAAAAACTAAACTGGATTCGCCTGGTATTTGCATATCTTAGAACATCAAACAAGTTTATTTTATTTTTTATAAATAATAATACAAGATAAAAGAAACATTTTGTTTTTCCGTAATAGAGGAAGTCTCCCAGTTGATTATACTAGTTTAGCTCTAGCATCATGCAACATACAATCTCATGAAAGGACAAAACCCTGTATGATGAAAGGACAAAATTGTAAGTCGGCCTGTTATCATGTCAGCAGGAAAGAACTTAACGTAAATATCTAAGACAATAACAATTAAAAAAAATAAAAAACCGGTATCCCAAGCTAAATACAATGTGAGGAAACACTTGAGCATACATAGATAGAATTTGCTAGAGGAGGTTCATTATAAAGCAAAAGTATCATCAACCTGTGTCCCAAATGCTCGGGAAAAATTTTGCCCAAGGTTGTGGCTGGTTCCAGCCTGCAAAGCCTTCCGGTCACCCATCATTGCTTCGATTGTATATGTCTTTGAGGCTCCAGCAAAGGTCTCAAGCTTTGATTTACGACCTGCAATAACAGGTATTGCAGCTTGCTCAAGAGCAAATTTTGTGTATATACCAATCATCTGTAATGCCTGCAGTTGGAATCATGAAAATTGTCAAATGAAAATATAAACCCAAAAGCGATACTGTATCAAGGAGAAAGCAAACCTCCTTTTCAGCTTCCTCAGAGGTTGCATGGGCTGTGTGACCTTCCTGCCACAGAAATTCAAGAGTTCTCACAAATGGTTTAGTACGCATCTCCCATCTCGTGACGTTTGCCCACTGAAACAATGAACACAATTAAAAATGTTGTTAATAATATTCTTCCAGGTTTTAAGGGAACAAAATATATGTTACAAAAAGATACCTGATTGATCATTAGTGGAAGATCACGATAACTATGAATCCACTGAGTGAACATGTGGTTAACAATTGTTTCACTTGTAGGACGAACCTGCCAGAACCTCAACAAGTGCAATAATCAAAAAGTAAACTCAGGTTGTATCAGTTAATCAGTCTCTTAAAAGGAATTCAGTAGTGGGAAGAGTTTGCACAGTGAAGTGTGGCAAGTATATTTACCACAAGCTTTTCTTCAAGCTCCTTTCCTCCGCCAATTGTCACAAGAGCTAATTCTGGAGTAAAACCCTCAACATGGCTAGCTTCTTTCTCAATGAATGAGTAAGGTATAAACTGCAATTACAATCAGTTCAAACATAATAGTTTAGTGCAACTAAACACCAATTGAAATTATAACAAATTTAGTACTATAGCAACTGCTGAAACAGTAAAGCTATATTGCCAATTAACTCTTCCATAAATCGTAAGATGATAAGCGAGTATTCCATCACAAACGAAACCAATCTCTGTCCAGTGATAAGTCACATCATACTTGATTCAGTTTTACCAAATCATTCACAACATCAAAATGATCAATAGAAATTTCCATATGCAGTACGCTAATATAAGTGATGGCTGATTCTAACCTGAGGAAAATACATGTTACTATGACCAGTCTCCTTAAACTTCACATTCAAATACTCCTGCACCAATCAAATCATCTAATTAGTAACAAAAGGCCATCACAAATGAATAGGGGAATGCTAAACAATAGCAGCAATAAACCTGAATTGCTTCCCAAATTGCGTAACCGTATGGACGAATAACCATGGTACCCCGAACAGGGCCATAATCAGCTAGCTCCGCATTCGCAATGACGTCTAAATACCATGCGTTGAAGTCCTGCGAGCGAGGAGTGATTACTCGATCCTTATCGGGATGGACTTTGGGCTTCGCCGAGCTGCGCTCGCCTTCGGGAGGAGTTGCTATTTCCTTCTTCACGGTGCTGCTTTGAGTTGATAAATCAGCGGCGAATATGCGGCGGACGGGGAGGCGTAGATGGCGTCCAAAGTGGTGGCGAGGAACCGCCGTGGTGGCGGCGGCGGAGAGTGAGGTGAGGGTAGGCAGCCTGAGCGCGCCCATTTCGGTGGTGGTGATGTTGTGGGGTTCAGTACAGTCGATGTGGAGATGAGGTTTTAGAGCAACTCCTAACTAAGGAGGTTTGCTAGAAATTTATATTCAAATTTATATCTTTAAATTAAAATAAATATTATTAAGTTTAATCTATTTATTTTAATTTAAAATATAAGAATAAATGTTAAGAAAAATATCTAGTAATAAATAATTTTATTTCTTTATTGTTCTTAATTCCAAGCTTATTTATTTATTATTTTGTTATAGTATATTTAAATTAAATTAATTACTTCATGTTTTTATTTATTTTATCTTATTATATTTTATTTATTATTATATAAAGAGATAGATATCCAAGGGTTGTAAGAGCTATTAACAATTTGTGGTAGATTATTCAGAAAGATATGGTGACGTGGTTTGAGTCCCAACAGCTGACGTGAATAATTTGGGAGGACAAGACAGGTTGATTCAGACCGAGTGACTTGCGTGGATAGATCAAGAGGACGCAACAACGTGATTCAGGACCCGACGACTTGTGAAAACAACTCGGGAGGATATGACGAAGCGATTCGGTTGTTGGAGACTTTCGTGGACAACTCGGGAGGAGACGATAAGGTGATTCAGACTGCAATGACTTGCGCGGACAACTCAAAAGAATACAACGAGGTGATTCCATCCCCGACGACTTGTGCAAATAGCTTGAAAGGACACGACAATCTAATTGAGGCCAGACGAACTGTTGAGGTGACTTGCATAATTTCTAGAAGATAAGTATTATTATTTTTATATTATTATTATTAAGAAGCTTAAATTATATTTGAAGATGGAGGTATCTATGAATAAGGCGGTGTGCTTAAACATAATGCGCATTATGTGGAGCTTATGATTTGGTAAATGTAGAAGGATAACGTGTGTGGTTGATGTTTTTTTCTAATTTATTTTTATATGAGGAAAATTTACAAGTATAATGGAATCCATAAAAGTGTTTTGGCAACAGTGGTGGCGAACTAGCGATGATCGGATGGTATTATTTACGTGTGTTGCATATCATGGAGTAAGGCATTAATGATCTCCCTAGGCCTAAAGAAAGCGAACACCATTTCCTTTAAAAATGCCAAATAATTGGACTCTCATGTATATAGGGTAACTTGTAATCTTGTTGGGGAGAAATATTATATTTTTTTTGTAAAATAATATGAAGTTTTGGTGAAATATTCATTGCTTGCATATTATTGGTGAATTATTAATGAGGTGGCAATGTAAATGGATAAATTATCAAATATTTATCGTACGTGAATAACAAACTGTGGAAAAAAATGTTGCATCTCTCATCTTTATCAAATGAGTGATGTGGATATATTAAAAGTATAGCATGAATAAGACTTACAATTGATCAATCACTCGTTGATTACCGATTTTGAACTGTGTGCATTGGGTTGGGAGAGTGGGGTATAGAAAAGAAATATAGTTTTGAACAGCATGACAGGCTAGTCGCTACTTGTTCATCGATTTTAAACAACTCATGTTGGGAAAGGTGAGTTGGGTATAGAAGACAAATATAGTTTGAAGCAGTTTGAAGTGAACCAATCACTCATTGCTTACTGCTTCTGAGCAACTCATGCTAGGTCAGGAGAATGGGATGTTTAAGATAAATTTGATTTTGAGAATTAGTTGAGTCAGTCACTTGTTGATTACCGATTTCAAACAACTCAAGCTGGATCAGGCAAGTTTTGGTTGTTTTCAAGGTATAATTATGGTTTTGAACAACGCGGGTTGGGCCACTATCTATTTATTTACCAATTCTAAATAACCCACGTTGTGTCAGGCTAGTGGGGTTTAGAAGACAAATCTGGTTTTGAACAGCTGAGCTAGGGTAGTTAATCTTTGATTACCGATTTCGCACCATGCGGGTTGATTTGATAGAGTGACGGATATTTTAAAGGCGTAAATCTTAATTTTAACAACTTATGATGGGTATTAATTGATTATCGATTTAAAACAATGTAATCTAGGTCAGATGAGAGTTGGATGTTTTACCGGTATAGATATAGTTTTCAACAACTCAAACTAGACCAACCACTTGTTTATTGATTTGAACAATGTGAATTGGGTTGGACGAGTGTTTTATTTCTTTTCAAAATGTGGTTTCTGAGTGTAGGGTGATTAAAATATGAATAGATGTTATTTAAATCTAATTTTGAATAGTGTGAGATGGGCGAGTCGATATTCAATAGATTTTTATTACACTCTGCGTTAGGTTGATATATATAATAAATGGTTTCTTTGGTTATGATGGTTTACTATATATTGAATGATATTTTTCTTACTTTTGTCTCTTAGCTCACTTGCAACACCAGATAAGAGAAGCAAGATGATGGATGTGGCATCATAAAATGGGTTCAAAAATATAAGGTGATTAAAATGCATGGGTTTGCATTCTATTTCTAGAATATTTTGACGTACTTTTTTTTTTTCCTAAAACAATAGAAGTAATATTATAACTTAAAAGCATATATGTTATAAATCCCGACGTCCAGTGATGTCAACACAACTTGACGAAACTTAGAAGAATTCAAACTAGCTCCTCTTCTGANTCGAGATAACCCTAACAACAACACAACAAAAAACAACAAAACACTGATCAAACAAAAGGCCTAAGCACAAAAAAAATAACACACACAAAAATAGAAGCAAATAAACTAAATAGACTCATGTCCTCCCCAACTTCCATCCAGTTCGATACATACCACCAATAGAAAACAACACAACAAGAGAATCATTCGAAGAAAAATCGGACCACGAAAGCAAGAACCGCATATCTGGGGACTCCAACACTCCAGATGGCTATTGGCTACGCAGATCGGAGGCTGTTATCCTCCCATACGGCCTTCCCGGAACAACAACTTGAAGAGCCAAAGCCACCTTCAACACCGCCCCACCCGTGAAAGCCCGACTTTGGACTTACCGGCGGAAGCAAAGATCTCGGGATGGGTTCAATACCCACCACAGCTACAACCCAGCGTGGTTTCGCGATAGAGAGCAATTGGCGGCGTCGGTGGCTACTTCGGAACAGAGGGCTTAAGAAGCAATGAGGCTATGAATTTGCAGATGTACTCTTTTCCTTTTTTCAGAGAGAGAGAGAGAGAGAGAGAGAGAGAGAGAGAGGACCAAATTAATAATGCTAGAATATTCTGACATAGTTGGATGAATTTTAGTTTTTCCTTGATTCCAATGGAGTATATTTAAGGAAATTTTATCTTATGGAGCAAATTATTAATCTCTTTTAAATAAGGAACCATCTTCTTTTTCTAGTACATTCTCTATGGACTACAAAAAATTCATTAGTAATTATTCCATGCACATCAGAGACCTTGGTGTTGTGATGTAAGATTGATAGAGTAGATTGCAGTATTTCAGTTATTTTTAAACTTCCTATGGTCTAATTCAGTAATTTATATGATTGTTCCATACTATGCCATTTTTTCCAAACGAAAATGAAAGAATAATATTAAACTCGAAAGAGAATATACAACCGAACAACCAACTGGTTACAAAGAGATCTTACTCCAACTACAAAACAGAAAAAAAAGCAGGATTCAAAAAAAAAAATGGCAAGACACAAACAG